GCAGTCAGGCTGTGCTCACAATTGATGGCATCTGAGGTTTGATGAGTTACAGCAAGTGTTATCTTTTATTCTTTTACAGCCTCATTCCTTTCTTGATCATCCTGCTAGTGGTTTTCTACTAATAATAATACAGTAACTAGAGGCCCAGTGCATGAAATTCATTCACGGGTAAGGTCCCTAGGCCTGGCCGGCGATCAGGGCCTTCTGGCTGCTGGCCAGGGCCTTCCTTCATTTTGCGCCACCCCTGGTGGTCAGCGCATGTCATAGTGAGCAATCAAACTCCTGGTCTCCTGGTCAGACTCTGTAGGGGACACTTTGCATATTAGCCTTTTATGTGGATAGATAGATAGATAGATAGATAGATGATAGGTAGATATAAGTAGATAGATAGCTTTTGCTTGAGTCTTCACATTTGTATTCCATCCAGCTTTGTGGCAGAGGTCCAGACCTGGGGGTGGGGTGGGTGGGGGGCATGGATGCTGCAGGAATGGGGCACGCATGCCTAATGGAGATCCACAGAGCATGTTTCTAAACTCAACACATAGAATTGTGATTAAGCCGAGGTGTAGAAAGGATGATTCACACAAAGAAGGGAACTTGACTTCTTGCTTTACCAAAAGATTCTTGAAGCAAATACCCTCTTTACATGCAAGCCCAGGCAGCTTTCCCCCAGGCCAGCCGTTCTCACTAGTAACGGAGAAGGGCGTGGTGGAGACCAGTCTGCTCTGGGCCCAGGACCTGCACAGCCCAGTTGCCACCACCCATGTGTGGCTCCTGAACCCTGGAGAGGTAACTAGTCTGAACTGAGATGTGCTATAAATGCAGACAGACACACAGCAGACTTCAAAGACTCGCACAAAAAAGTAAAACATCTATTAATGTATATTGATTGCATGTCAAAGTGGCATTTTAGCTATATTGGCTTAAAACAATAGAGTATCAGTTTATTTCACCTGGGTCTTTTTTTTTTTTAATGTAGCTACTCAAAAATTTGAAATTACCTGTGTGGCTTGCATTGTTTTCTCTTGTGCATGTATTCAGTTTTATAGACGAAGAGCGCTTAGCTAAGGCAGAGTGAGCTCCTGACGGTTTCCCAACACGCCCGACACTCAGAAAGTGTGGGATTTTTTTCAAGTTTACATTTCCTTATTAAACAAATAGGTAACAGAGAGAAGAGGAAGGGGAAGCTCCCACACAGATCCCCTGGATAACTTTCATAGACCTTGGCTTCTGGAAAGAAGGGCAGATTTCAGAACTGGGAAATCGGCCCGAGGAGGGTCAGGCTGGAGGTCCTCTCTCGACTCCACTTAGCCGTCCTGGGGAGCCTCCATTTCTGGAGTTGGTGCCTTGTGTCCACAGTTTATCTGATGCATTCATGGCGAAGCCACATTGACAGCATGAGCTGCACAGACCTGGGGCTGACTCTGGCTTGGGGGGCCCTGTGCCGGGGAGTGCAGTGTCTGGGGTTCGGTTCCTCCCATGTGAGGTGAGGCCAGTCCTCATGAGCATGTTGAGAATCTTCAGTAAGAACCCAGCTCTAGCTGGTTTGGCTCAGTGGATAGACCATTGGCCTGTGGACTAAAGGGTCCTGGGTTCGATTCCTGTCAAGGACACATGCTGGGGTTGTATCCTGGGGTCTTTCTCAGCATCTGCTAGGGTTCAAGAAATCTGGAAAAGGGGCTGTGCATACATTAATAAAGAGGCTAGAGAAGAAATATGAATTTGGAAGGCATTTTGGGGGAGCCAGAGGAGGCTTAGTTCTAGTTAACTAAGTTCCCCAAATCTCCGGACCCAGGGCTTTTTATTCCCACATTTTGCCCTATAGCAAAGCAGATATACATATCAAAGGTAAGGTTTGGTAAGCAGTTAAAAGATTATCATGTTGGGGCAGTGGTCAGCAAACTGCGGTATATATATATATATATATATATATCTCAAAGGTAAGGTTTGGTAAACAATAAAGTATTATCAGTTTGGTGAGCTGCCCTGAGCTATCTGGCAGCAGGCAATAACATGCAGATTTTCAGCCCTGCTGAAGCCCCAAGGTTCATCACCTTTTGATGAACTTGCATTTATGACCTGCTAGAATTAGCCTCTAGCAGTTGTAGGCTTGATTCCCCAGTAGGGGGCATGCAGGAGGCAGCCAATAGATGATTCTGTCTCCTCATTGATGTTTCTATCTCTCCCCACCTTCCTCTCTGAAATCAATAAAAATATATTAAAAAAAAAAAAAAAACCAGAAAAGTCACACCCAGTGCTTGGTGGGTATTGGGACACAAACATCAGTGTCTGTCCTGCGGGCTTATGCAGGGCGGAACCCTGTCACATGCACGTCCCCTCCTCTAGGGAAGTCCCACCTGGCCATCGTGCAGAAGGTGAACAACGAGGGGGAAGGGGACCCCTTCTACGAGGTCCTGGGCCTGGTCACCCTGGAAGACGTCATTGAGGAGATCATCAAGTCCGAGATCCTGGACGAGTCCGAGGACTACCGTGAGTCTCGCCTCCTGGCAGCTTTTTGGCTCAGCCGGCCTGGGGCTCCCTGAGGTGTGTGCTGCAGTTCCAGGGCATGCCGAGCTGTTCCCCCCGTTCTTCCCCTGCGTGGACCAGTGTTGCCCCTCATAGGAGAGCCCCCTTCTGGGGGGCAGAGCCATGGCGCCCGTCCACCCATGGCCTTGCAGCTCCAGCGCTTGCTGGGGCGCCGCTTGCTTCTTCCACCTGAGGGGCCTCTGTCCTGATGGGCGTTTCCAAGCCTCTCTCCTCCTCACTCCTTTTGCTTCTCAGGTGGTTTGTACAGTGTCTCCTCAAACTTGTTCTTCACTAAGAACCTGTCCTTGACTAAGAGGGTCTTCCCAGAACGTGTCCCTGGGGCCCGTGGTTGTGTCTTAGGAGCATCTGCCTCTCAGGAGGTGACAGGTCTGCAGGATGGACATAGGGCCCTTGCTCAGTGGCTGGGGCCTCCCATGGCACTGGGAACACAGTGCCTGTGTGTGCTGTCAGGAGAACTGCTTTGCCCGTGATGCGTCCCATCCGGCAGCATCTTTAGTTTCATTCCTTGGGCTGCTCCAGGCTCAGAGCGACTAGTGAGCTGCCACCGGCTAGCACCAGGGGTCCTCCAATGCCTGCTTTCCGGCGAGTGGTCTTCTAATGACCATACATGCTTGTCACTTTGCTTCTGTCAGTCTTGTCAGCAGTATCTTCTCCCGCCTCCAAGGAGAGGTACTTTCTCGGGGTGTGGCTGCACGTAGGCCTCTAGCTCTCTGTCCTTCAGCACCAGGATTACTGTGTGGTGGGAATGACAACCGGGCACCATCCAAGGGTGTGTCCTGGGGGCTCCGAGGTGTCTCCCAGGAGCCCCCTGGCTTGTGGAGGGTTGCAGACAACATGCCCCTTGATTTAGTCACGTTGGCAGGAGGGCTGCGGGTGCCTAAGCTGCCTTCTCGCCATCCCAGGAGACACCATGGTGAGGAAGAAGCCTGCTGCTCTCAGTGTCCCTCTCAGGCGGAAAGAGGAATTCTCCTTGTTCAAGGTGTCTGACAATGAGTATAAAGTGAAAATCTCGCCTCAGCTGCTCTTGGCCACCCAACGCTTCCTTTCCCGAGGTGAGGATGAGGGTGGTTCTCGTCCCCACCCTCTCGCTTACCAGTCCAGGGTGTCAGGAGACCCCGGGCAGCCCCTGCCTCCCCATCCCAGGAAGCAGGAGAGTGTCCGGGAGCACCTCTGCTCCTCCTGGCTGTCCTGGCAGCAGAGACACCTGCTGGACCCTCTCAGGTCATCCAAGGGGACTGCCCTGCTCCACCCAACATCCAAAAGCAGGGCCAGGCTGCTGCCGCCTGGGTGAGCCTCCACCAGGAAACCTTGGTGTGTGTGGCTGCCACATCCTCTTGTGTTGGGGAGGGGACTCGGCTCGAGGGCCAGCCAGGATCTTCCAGGTGGGCAGCAGGCGTTGGTGTGGTTACGCTGGCCGCTTAGGGCCCAGTGGACACTCTCTTCTCTCTGCCGCGGGCAGAGGTGGATGTGTTCAGCCCATTGCGAATCTCCGAGAAGGTCCTGTTGCACCTGCTGAGGCACCCCAGCGTCAACCAGGAGGTGAGGTTTGACCAGAGCAACCGCCTGGCTGCACACCATTACCTGTACCAGCGCAGCCGGCCGGTGGATTACTTCATCCTCATCCTGCAGGTAACAGGAGCCGGGCCAGGCCCCCACCGGGTCGGAGAGCAGGGAAGGGCCAGAGAGGGAGGCACATGGAGGTGCACCCTGGTAATCAGAGTGGGTGCCTTCTGCTGTGCTTCCTTCCGGCAGGAAGCGTAATGTGTGCGCATGTTTCTCTCCGCCTCCAGGGCAGGGTTGAGGTGGAGATCGGGAAGGAGGGCCTGAAGTTCGAGAACGGGGCGTTCACCTACTATGGCTTGTCTGCCCTGACAGCCCCATCCTCGGGTGAGCTGCAGCCCCACCCCGAGTGCAGACTGGGCTGGCTGAGGCTGGCTCCCTGCTGTGGCTGGTCCCTAGGACCAGGATTCTGCCCTTTTCTCCCTCCGGCGCTCGGCCCCTACAGGGTGGTCTGCTTCAGGACCTGCTGGACTTTCTCCTCTCGGGGTCGTGCGGGAAGGGGCAGTGTTTTTTCAGGGCTCGTCTGGGCTATCCCCTCCCATCCCTGTGACACCTTTCCCTGGAGGAAGCTGTTGGCCGTAGTCCCTCCCGGTGTGACTGTGGGGTGGCTCTGGAGGCTGTGCAGTTGTCCCCACCACGGTGGGCTGCCCGGCTCCCAGCAGGGCTTCCCATGACTGCTTGTTCCTCTCCCCAGTTCACCAGTCCCCCGTGTCCTCGCTCCAGTCCCTCTGCCATGACCCGCAGCCCGAGCCAGCTGACGGCACCCGCCTCTCCACGTATTGTCCTGACTACACCGTGCGGGCCCTCTCTGACCTGCAGTTCATCAAGGTTTGGACTGCTCATTGGTTCTGGCCTCAAACCAGCTTTGTGTCCCCAAAGGTTAGACCACCTGGTCACCAGTTTGTGTGAATTGAGAGTAAATTCCTAGGAAGTTGGTCTGAGATGTCCCAGAGCAAACCTTGAACTGGCTCTGCCTCTGACTGCTGCTCTGGGCCGAGGCACCGTTTCCTTCTGATCTTGAAGACACGGTGCTCAATTGCCCTTAGCCTGTGGCTCTTCCTTTCTCCTCATCCTGCCCAGTGTGACTCTCCCGCCTGGTCCAGGGCTTGTGGGCAGGAGGGGGTGGTATGAGCAGGCGCTTCACCTGCTCCGTGATGCGTTCTGTCCTCCAGGTCACGCGGCTACAGTACCTCAATGCACTCCTGGCCAGCCGAGCCCAGAACCTCCCACCGTCCCCTGAGAGCTTGGACCTCCAGGTCGTCCCAGGCAGCCAGACCCGGCTCCTCGGTGACAGGACGGCCACAGCAGCAGGTGAGCCCGGAGGCCACATTCTGCACGACAACCCAGAAGGCACGCGCCCTTCCGGGCCTTGCTGCTAGCGCACGCACACACCGGCTCTCTGCCCTGCGTTCTTCTCTCTTCCTCCCCTGTCTCCCCGGCCTCTCTTCTTGCTGTTTTTAATAGCTCGGATGGCCCCGAGCTCTGTAGACCAGCACGCACTTGAGCATATGAGGTCAGCATTTCCTCTTGAGAGCCTGTTAGGGGGTTGACTTCGGGGATAGTTGTCAAGTGGGAATAAGATCACATTCAGATGTGGTCATTTAGGACTAGGGTGAGTCACCCAGAGAGTCAGGTTTGGGTACCGGTGGCCCTGGCTCCGAAGGCGGGTGGCTGGTGCGCACATTCAGCTAGAAAGGCCCCGCTCACATCCGCCCTGGCTCCTCTGCGCAAGAAGCTTGTGTTGGAGGTATAGCTTTGTGATGTGAGATGGCAGACCCCACCCTCCCCAGGTGAGGAGGGCGGGTGCTGAGGAGCCGGTGAGAGGGGCTGTGGGAGGAGTGGCAGCACCTGGGAACCTTGCCCTTGTTAATCGAGAAGGTTCCTTTACTCTGAGCTCCTCCTGGGTTGGGGTCAGAGACGCTCCAGGGCGTGGCCTCCCTGGAGAAGTGCCCGGCTTCCCCAGGCTGCAGGCGGAAATGCCAGCTCGCCCCGCAGTGGGACCCTGAGCTCGCACTTCACTGGTCCTGACTCATCTGAGACCCCGTCCCTGAGGTTGGAGACGGGTAGTTACGCTCATTTTCCAGATGAACATTCGGAGGCTGGGAGCCTGTGGTGCCTCACAGAGAACAGCTCCGCCTGCTCAGATCGTGCCATAATACAGATACTTTCTGAGCCGTGAGGTGCAGGTGCCAGGGAAAGCAAACCCACCCTGGGCCGGGTTGCTAGCGTGTGGGCTGCCCAGGGCCCCTCCCAAATGAACACCCACGCCACCTCGGGGGCTGGTGAGCTCCTGGGACGGCCTTTGATTCTGTGACAGCCCTTGTTACACTGCCCTACTAGACTTGGTTCTCAGAACAAGTTTTTTCTGGAGCCTTTGGTTTTGGTTTTCTCGTGTGGGAGCCTTTCCCTGGCCCCATCCGCCACGCAGACTGTGTCAGCCCTTGTTACACTGCCCTACTAGACTTGGTTCTCAGAACAAGTTTTTTCTGGAGCCTTTGGTTTTGGTTTTCTCGTGTGGGAGCCTTTCCTGGCCCCATCCGCCACGCAGACTGTGTGTGTCGTGTTCAGAGTATAGACTTACGTCTAAGAAGGATGGTTTTCTCTTCATTTCGTCTTCTGCTGGATTTCCAAAGGTTTTTTAAGTCCTTTTCTGGCTTTTGCTGCTCGTAGTCAGTCCCCTCAGGGAGTAACTTATGGGGAGCCTGTGCGTCCTGTCCCCTTGGTAACGGACACCGTCCTGCTCTGGAGTCATACTGGGGGCCGTTTTCTCCCAAACGCGCTGACATTGCCCCTGTGAGGCGCACCCACTGTCCTGCTCCTGGCCTTGGCTCTCTGGCGTCTTGCTGCGGCCTCTGCCACCCTGGAGGGCTGACTCACTGTCACTCCACACATGGAGGCGTCATCTGCACTGCTTCAGGAGTGCGGTCAGAACCACTCCCAGAGGACACGCTTAGAAGCACGGTTATTTTTGACTGCCTGTGTAGCAGGGTCGGTAAAGTGGACAGAGGGTGGATCTGGCCCTTTGCCTGTTCTTGTAAATAAAGTTGTGTTTTGTTTTTTAAATATGTTTTTAGTGATTTTTGAGAGGGAGGGAGAGAGAGAAAGAGAAACATCGATTGGTTGCCTCCGCACGCCCCCGACATCCCAGGCATGTATCCTGACCAGGAATCGAACTGGCAACCTTTTGGTGCATGGGACGATGCTCAACTAACTGAGCCACACCGGCCAGGGCATGTATAAAGTTTTATTGGGACCCACTTGTTTGTTCACAGATTGTATGTGGCAGCCTTTAAGCTACAATAGTGGAGTCAAATTGTCACAGAGGCTATGTGACCTGCAAAACCTGAAAGTACTGGCCTTTTAAAAAAAATGTTTATATATTTTAATTGATTTCAGAGAGGAAGGGAGAGGGACAGAGAGAAAAACATAAGTGATAAGAGAGAATCATTGATTGGCTGCCTCCTGCGTGCCCCCTTCTGGGAATCGAGCCCGCAACCCAGGCATGTGCCCTTGACCGGAATCGAACTCAAGACCCTTCAGTCCACAGGCTGACGCTCTATCCACTGAGCTAGACTGGTTAGGGCAGAACTAACCTTTTACAGAAATAGTTTTCTGACCCCTGACCTGCATTTCACAGTACCTCCTCCACATTCAGCATTCACGGAACTGGACTTTCAAGGGAAAGCTCACTGAAGACTCCGTGTTCCCTGACCCTCTGTTCCAAGCAGCCGGACGCAGAGCGCATGCCCCTGCCTGGGCTCCTGCCCAGCAAGTGCCCGTCTCCTGGGTGCTGCGGGCGGAGGCTCTGCGGGTCCGGCTCCATAGCTTCTCCTCTCTTTCTCTCTGCTCTCTCCAGCCTGCCCCGTACACCTTTCCCTCTTTGGCACATTTGGAAACTGCAGTTGATAATTGACTGGATTAGTGAGCGTTTTTTGTTTTAAGAAAACACCAAGGTAAATACCTGCCCTTCCCCTGGCTTGGCTCTCCTTCCCCAGCTCTGCTGGGAGGCGCTCTGAACCCGCTTCCCCGGCCGGGGGCATTTCTCCATGGTGCGGGAGCCTCTCTGTCCCTTCTGCTGCTTTTCATTTCATTTCTCTGGAGACAGGAGGTCTCATGGCCCCCCGCCCCGCCGTGGGGACTAAAGCTCCTTCCAGGGCAGGCTCCCCCTGCCCAGCACACGGCCTCAGCCTCCTGTGGCCGGAACCCAGCCCCTGCTTTGCTGCCTCAGTGATGACCCTGTCCTCTAAGTGGTGTCTGTGAGGCCGTCAGGCCGACCGTTTTCCTAGCTAGTCACCCCCAGGCCTGCCTCGACACCCCTGAGGCGCCTCTGCCTGCCCTGCCCCTTCCTGTCCCCCAGAGGATCGTCACGCTTTCCGTCCTGGTAGTAATTCTCCTTTTCCTCTCTCCTCTAGGGTCCAACCACGGTGGGCCCAGCCTCCCAGCGGAGGAGAGCCCTGGGCGGAACCCAGGAGTGTAACTGCTTGCCAGGCAGCCCAGGCCTGGGAGCGGGCAAGCACGTGGGGAAGCAGAGAGCCCAGCCGCCCTCACCCCCTCGGCCACGTTTTAGAGGCCTAGGCGCAGGGCCGGAGCCCCTGCAGGCTGCCCCTCTAGAAATGGGGTTGGCGGCACCGCCCTCCAGGCCTGCTTCTGAAGGGATGGAAGGAAGGACACCGTGTCTCCGTGGCCAGGCCCAGCCTCCTCTGAGACGACCACGCCATGATGTGAGTGCGCGATCGCGGCCTTCCCGTGGCCGCGGCCTGTACTCGCTTTGCTTCTCTGTCAACCGGCTGCTGCTGGCAGCACTTTCTGAGCAACAAGAGCACCAGTGTCGGCTGGGGGTACAAACCCATGGCCTTGTCATGGCGAACTTGGCGGCTTCCCGACAGTGCCACGTCTCGGCACGCCCCAGCCTGTCCTTTGTGCCAAGCCTGGGAGCACCGTTCCTCACAAGTCGGTGCCACTAGTCCTGCCCCTCCCGTGGAGGTGGCTGGCTGACCCGGCGGAGCCCTGAGCAAGTCGCTGGCCCCGCGACAGGATGGCGGGGCCTGCGCCTCCCGCCACTCATCTGCCTGGGGGACGAAGAGCCTGGCCACGGAGTAGCTTCCTGCCAGCCGTCCTCACCCCCCCAGGCCACATTCTGTGTTGTAACGAGAGGTCGTGTGTGAGAGGAAGGGCTCTGCTGTGCCCCATCCTTTCTTCATGGTCAGATCCCAGGAAGAGGAACCAACTACCAGACCGATTTCACGCCTTCCTCCTGGGCTTCCGGTGGGTGGGCGGGCTGTGGGGCTGGGAGTGCGTGGAGAGCCGTGAGGGAGGGAGGGTTGGATAAGGGCCAGGTGGATCCCTGCCACCTTTCTTTTAAAAAACATGAGGTTTCTGTCTCTGAAACATTTCAAGCTTTTGCCTGTTTCCTGTCCCTCGCTATGGGTTCTAGAGAATCGGGAGCAACAAGATTCTCTCTTGGTTGTTTGTCTTTTCCTTCCTGTTTATTTACCGTCCACGGTTCAGCTGCGCGGAAGCAGGCAGCACAGGGGCCTAGGGTCTTAGAGCGGGAGGGCACGGAGGGTTTCTGGAGCCTTTCTCAGAGGAATCTGGCCGAGAGGCTCCTTATAAGGTCAGAGGGTGGCCTGCTTGCCGAGAAGCTGTTCTCTAGGAATTCACCCCCAGAGCAGAGTCCGGGTGGGAAACGGCCGGTCAGGCCGTAATTCTGTGTCTATAATGCCGACGGGGTGCCTGGGGGTGAGCTTGCTGGTATCAGTCTGCCTGTGCAAGTTGCAGAACCTGCTGACGACATTGAGGACTGAACTGTACAGTCACCTCTCTCCAGAACAGGGTTCCCCACCTGGGCTGCAGTTAGAATCACCCGGCAAATTAAACAAACCGAGGCTGTAATGGGGCTGATGTCAGGATTTTAGTTTTGAAATAACTTTAGATTCACAGTAGAGGTCCACGTACCCTTCATCTGGCTTCCCCTCATGTTAACGTCTTACATCACCTCAGTACCTTTATCAAAACTAAAAGTTAACACTGGTACAGAAATAACTAAATCAGTTTTTCTAATGTCCTTTCTCAGTTGCAGGATCCATTCCAGGGTACCAATTTAGAGCTGTTACTTATTTTCTACCTATTTGTTTTGAAATTACAGATTCATAGGAATTTGCAAAGATAGAGGTACCCTTCACCCTGCTTTCCTCCGTGGCTACATCTTAGTTATAATACAGTATCTAACCAGGAATGGACACTGGGCAGTGAGGATGGTTTGTTATATATCATCTCATGTGTAGCTTTGTGTGACCGCCGCTACAGTCTGCACACAACTGTCCCATTGCCATCAGCATCTCCCTCTAACTACCCTTTTAGAGCCACACTCCTCCCCCCCCGCCCCCCCAGCCGCCATCCCTAATCCCTGGCAACCCCTGATCTGTTTGTCATCTCCAGTTTTGTCATTTCAAGAATGTATAAATGGGTTGAAAAATCTGTAACTGTTGGGATTGGGCTTTCTCAGCATATACTCTGGTATTCATCCAGGTGGCTGTGGGGCCCACAGTTCGTCCCCTCGGGTGGTTGCGTGGTTTCCGTGGTGTGCTCGTTCTAGTTACGGACATGGGGGTGGTTTCCAGTTTTTGGCTATCCCGAATAAAGCTGCTATAACATTCATCACAGGTGTTTGTGTAAATGTTGGTTTCTTCCTCTGAGATAAATGTCCAGTAGTACAATCGCTAGATTACATGGTCACTGCGTGTTTTGTTTTTAAAAATTGACAAACTTCTGGAGTGGCCGCACCATTTTACATCTCCACCCGCAACGTGTGTGACCCAGTTTCTCCGAATCCGTGCCAGCGTGTCGTATTGTCACGTTTAGCCATTCTGGTAGGTATGTTGTGACATCTCGTTGTGGTTTTTATTTGCATTGAGAGAATGGCTAATGTGTATCTTTTCATATGCTTATTCACTCCATGAAATATCTGTTCATGTCTTTTGCCCATTTTCTAATTGGATTGTTTAATTTTTTTTTACTGTTGAGTTTTGTTAATGTTTTTAAAAGTATATTTTCATTTATTTCAGTGAGGAAGGGAGGAGAGAGAGAGAGAAACATCAGTGAAGAGAGAGAATCACTGATTGGCTGCCTCCTGTGTGCCCTGACTGGAAATTGAACCGTGACCTCCTGATTAATGGGTTGATGCCAAACCACTGAACTACACTTGCCGGGCTGCTGTTGAGTTTTATGAGTTCTTAATATATATTCTAAATACTAGTCCTTTTTTAAGGTTTTGGTTTACAAATAGCTTATTTTTTCCTCCTCTAAACAGCATATTTTACAGAGCAAACATTTTTAATTTTGATAAAGTCCCGTTCACAGATTTTTTTTCTCTTAATGATTTGCTTTTGATGACATGGCTAAGAATCTGCCTCCTGCCAGATACTGAAGATTGTTTCCTATGTTTTCTAAACTTTATAGATTTGTTTTACATTTAAGTCTGTGATCCATTTTGAGTTAATTTTTGTATAAGGTATGACATTCTGGTCAAGGTTCTTTTCTCAATTTGCATTTTACTGTTTACTGATGAGATTGAGTGTCTTTTTATGTGTTGATGGGCAATTCATGTTTTCTTTTCTGGGAAATGCCTGTTATATCTTTTGTCCTTTTTTTATTTTTAATACGATTTTATTAGTTTTTTAGAGAGAGAAGAAGGGAGAGGTGTAGTATGATAGAAACATCAATGATAGAGAAACATCACTGATAGGCTGCCTCCTGCACCAAGCCAGCAACCTGGTCATGTGCCCTGACCGGGAATCAAACCAGTGATCTCTTGGTCCTGGGCCAAAGCTCAGCCACTGAGCCACACCAGCTGGGCTCTTTTGCCCTATTTCCATTGAGTTTGTATTTTTCTTATTTATTCATGAGTTCTTTATGTGTCCTGGGTTCTAATCATTTGTAGAATAAATGTGCTGCAAAAAGTTCTCTGTTTGTTGTAGTTTATCATTCTACTTATTACATCTTTTGATAGTCATTCTTAATTTTTCTGCAGTCAGTCTTACCAAATATTTTCTTTTATGGGTTGTATTTTGTGTCTTGATAAATCCTTTTCTACCCTCTTGTCATAAAAATATTTTTCTACATTATCTATATACATGCACCCACACACACATGCATTTAAATGTTTAACCCACCAAAAATTGATATGTGTATGCACTATTCAATTTCCTTTATTTTCCCCCAAATGGATATAACCAAGTGTTCAAATCCTACATATTGAGAAGCACATCTTTCTTCTCCTCTCTGTAATGCCATCTGTCATAAATCAGATGTTCACATATGTACTGATTTGGTATCTTGCAACATTACTATTTTTTTCCTAATAATTTTATGGTGGCATCTTTAGGTTTTCTATATAGTATCATGCCATCTACAAATAGGGACAGTTTAACTTCCCAGTTTGGATGCCTTTTATTTTTCTTGCCTATTTGCTCTGGCGAGGACTTCAAATACTATGGCGAGTAACAATGGTGAGGCATCTTTTCCTTATTCCTCATCTTAGGAGAAAAGCTGTCAGTTTCCCACCATTGACTGATATTGGCTGAGGGTTTGTCAGGACTGGTCTTTATTATGTGAGGTACTTCTGTACCCATTTTATTGAATGTTTTAATCATTAATGGATGTTGGGTCTTTTCAAATGCTTTGTCTACATTTATTAATATATGACTTATTTTGTAAATTTAGTGTATTATTACATCGATGATTTGCATGTGTTGAACCATCCTTCTGTCACAGGAATGAACCCTACTTGATCATAATGTATATGATCCTTTTAATGTTTTGTTTTATTTGATTTGCTAGGATTTTGTTTAGGGTTTTTGCATCTATGCTCAGCAGAGATATTGGTCTGTAGTTTTCTTCTTTTGCGTTGTTCTTGCTTGGTTTTGGTGTCAGGGTAATGTTGGCCTCATAAAATGAGGAAGTTTCTCTTCAATTTTTTGGGAAGAATTGGAGGAAGAATATTCTCTGAGTAGAAAATATTTGGGTAGAAAAGCCATCTGGTCCTGGGCTTTTGTTAATTTTGAGGGAGGTGTGTGGTTTTTTTTGTTTTAATTTTGTTACCAGTGATTGGTCTATTTAGGGTTTCCAGTACCTCATGATTTGGTCTAGGGTGGTTATATATTTTAAAGAATTTGTCTATTTCTTCTACGTTATTGAATTTGGTGGCATATAACCTTTCATAGTATCTATCTAATCTATCTATCTATCTATCTATCTATCTATTTATCTATCTATCTAATCTATCTAGAACCCTAAGCGACCAGTCAACCATTTGACTAGTCGCTATGATGCACACTGACCACCAGGGGGCAGATGCTCAACGCAGGAGCTGCCCCCTGGTGGTCAATGTGCTCCCACAGCAAGAACACTGCTCAATGAGCTTATTGAGCGGCGGCGGCGACTGCAGGCACAGCGGAGCCGGGATGAGTGGGAGCGGTGCGGTGCCCAGCCTGGGCTTGGGCTCCTCCCTGGCCGTCTGCCGCTTCTAGCACTACATCCCTCGGGGGATGTCAGACTGCCGGGGATCGGGAAACCAGCAGTCCAACATCCCCCAAGGGGTCCTGGATTGCAAGAGGGCTCAGGTCAGGGTGAGGGACCCCACTAGTGCACAAATCCGTGCACCAGGCCTCTAGTATATATATGTATATATATACCTAAGCAACCATTCGACCATTCGACTTTTCAACTGGTAGCTATGATGCGCACTGACCACCAGGGGTCAGACAGTCAACACAGGAGCTGCTGAGCTTCAGTGACTTGGCAGCTGCGGTTCTCAGGTGATGCACCTGGAACCAGAGAGGAGGGAGCCCGATTCCAGGGTGCATCGCCTGAGAACCGCCCTCACAATTTGGGACCCCTCGGGGGGTGACGGAGAGTCAGTTTTGGCCCGATCCCTGCAGGCCAGGCCGACAGACTCCACTGGTGCACAAATCCATGCACTGGGCCTCTAGTTCTTCTATAATACTTGTATATCTGTTGTGTTCATTGTAACATCTCTTTCATTTAAGATTTTATTGAGTCTTTTCTCTTGTTTCCATAATTTAGCCAGAAATTTGACAATTTTATTCTATTTCTTTTTGTTCTCTATTTCATTTATTTTCACTCTAGTTTTTATTTCCTTCCTTCTGACTGTGCTTTTCTTTTTTTAAAATTCTTTGAGGTTTAATGTTAGATTATTTGAGTTTTTTTCATGTTTCTTGAGATAGGCCTGTAATGCATAATCTTCCCTTTTAGAGCCACTTTGCTGCATCCCAAATATTTTGGTGTGTTATATTGTCATTTTCATTTGTCTCTTAGGTATCTTTTTTTTACAAAAAAATATATTTTTATTAATTTCAGAGAGGAAGGGAGAGGGAGAAAGAAACATCAGTGATGAGAGTCATTGATCAGCGGTCTCCTGCACACTCCACACTGGGGATCGAGCCCACAACCCGGGCATGTGCCCTGACAGAATGGAACTGTGACCTCCTGGTTCATAGATTGACACTCAACCACTGAGCCTCACTGGCTGGGCTGGGTGCATATATATTGATCAGTGTTAATTCCTAATTAATTGTCTCCTTTATCATTATACTATCTATTTTTGGTCTCTAATAACCTGTTTGTTAGTCTTCACCCAAGGATATTTTTCCATTGATTTAGAGAAAGAGCGAAAGGGAAGGGGAGAGTGAGAGAAAAACATGGATGTGAGAGACACGTTGATTGGTTGCCTCCCGTACTTTCCCCGACCGGGGCTAGGGATCAAGCCTGCAACCGAGGTACGAGGTACGTGCCTTTGACCAGAATTGAACCCACGACCCTTCAGTTCATGGGTTGATGCTCTATCTACTGAGCCAAACTGGCTAGAGCTCTAATAACTTTTTTATCTTGAAATCTGTTTTGTTTGATGTAAGTACAGCTACTCCCACTCTGGATGCCAGTGCTTGGAGGATCAAGGGTCTCCTGAAGGCAGCATAGAGTTGGGTCTTGTTTTTAATCCGTGCTGATACTCTGCCTTCTGATGGGTGAGTTCAGTGCATTTACGTCTGGGATGATTGCTGATTTGTGAGGACTCAGCTGCAGCCGTTTTATCCCGTGTCTTCTGTCTGCCTTTTAGCTTGGTGGTTGTCGTGTCTCAGCTCTGGAGCTGTTTTGTGGTTACCGTTGGGTTTATGTGAAATGAAAGTTCCACGCTTACCCTGGTTCTTTTCCTTCTGATCGCGGCTCCACTCAACTGTGTAAGTTCAGTTGTCCCCCCTTTAAGGGATCATCACAAAGCACCCCTTTTTATGATGTGCTCATTTCCAAATTGCAGTTATAGTCTCTCTTTCAAGTACCCTTTCCCCTTTAACCTTTATGTCATATTTGTTCAATACTATATTCTAAAACAGAGTTGCAATTTCTTCTATTTTTCTTCTTATTCAAAAGTTCTTATTGATTGATTTTAGAGAGAGAAAGAAACACAGATTTGTTATTCCACTTACTTACATATGTTCATTGGCTGACTCCCTGACTGGAATTGAACCCGCCGCCTTGGCATATCAAGACGATGCTCTAACCAACTGAGCTACCTGACCAGGGCTCAACAGTTTTAATACACGATCATCTCTTTGTTTCCGGTAGAAGAGCTCCTCTAAACATTTCTTGTAATGCAGGTCTTGTGGTGGTAAAGTTCCGCAGCTTTTGTTTGTCAGAAAAAGCCTTTTATTGCTTTATTTTAGCCTTCAGATCTAAAGGCTAACTTTGTTGGACATATTCTTGGCTGGTGGTTTCTCTTTAAATATTTTAAATGGAGGTCACGGTTCGATTCCCAGTCAAGACACATGCCCAGGTTGCGGACTCAATCCCCAATAGGGGGTATGCAGGAGGCAGCTGATCAGTGATACTCTCTCACCATTAATGTTCCTCTCCCTCCCCCTCCCCTCTCCCTCACCTGAATTCAATACAAATACAGTTTTTTTTAAAAAAGAGTAACCTAGAGTGACAGGAAACAAGCCCCCGCTGGGGCCTGAGGGCTGGTGGGTGACTGCAAAGGGGTGTGGGAGCGCAGTTTGGAAGATGTTCTCTTTTTTTGTTGTTTTTGTTTTGTGGTTGTAATTACATGGGAATATACATTTGTCAAAACTCATGTATTCTGAAAATGGTGCATTGTAACCGCATGCAAATTATACCTCAACTAAGTTGTTTTTTGGGTTTTTTTTTGTAAGAGTACATTTACTGGGTAACTTGCAGAGGTAGAAAAAGTAATTCCTAGAAGAAATGAGCTTAAGAAACAATTATAGAGGTAAAGGCAGGGCTGGTAGAGCTTGGGAGTGAGGAACCTAACAGTAACGTGGGGGGGGGGGTGGCGGGGAAGGTGGCAGGGAGAGGCACGCTGTGCTCCCAGGAGGGAGAGCCAGTGCAGTGGATTTGTAACAGGATAGAAGGCAGCAGGGCAGAATATTCACATTAAAGACAACGTGAGCTCTGTTCGCTTCTTGAATTTGAGGGTCCAGCCCTTTGATAGGTTTGGTGAGTTCTCCTCAGTTATTTGGTTGAATCAGCCTGTTCCCTCTGCTCGTCTCTTCTCTGGTATTCCGTGCCCTTGTCGCTCTCTAATGGAGGCAGGAGGTTCTCGTCGGGTTCTTTCATTGTTTCACACTCAGTGCTCTTCCACCGGAGTCACTTCTAGATTTCTATCGTTGAGCCCCCAATTCTGTCTTCCATGTGGTCTGCTCTTTCCCATCTTTCTAATTCATTCTTCAGCTCCAGAATTTCTGGTATGTTTCTTTTTATAGTTTCAGTCTCTCTGATAAAGTTCTTTCATTTGTAGATTTTATTCCTTGGCTCATTGAACTGCCTGAGTTTTTTCATAATTGCAATCCTGAATTCTGTCATTTAAATATAGTCTTCAGTTGTCTTGGAGTTTGTTTCTAGAGACTTTTCCTTCTGAGCTACCTTGTCGCTGTGGTTATTCATGGTGCTTGATGGGTGGGTTGTTCTCTGCCTGGGCACGCAAGTCCGTGAACTCCTAGGAACGGTTTTGCTCACAACTCTGCAGGTCGGTAAGTATAGGTCTTTCTCTTGTTTTCCACTAGATGGTGCTATATTGCAAGTTTTCGTTCTTTTACCTGCTCTACTGGCACCTGGGACCTCGGGGCAGCGTTGCCTGTCATGGAAAATGCCCCGTGTTTCCCAAGGAGTTTGGTGACCCCTCCGTGGGTTTCCTCAGTCTCGGTACCATTCTGATGGGCTGTTGGGCTCCGGGCCTGTGAGTCCCCAGGGCTGCCTCTTTGTAACCAGAGGCTGCCATCTGAGGTGTCTCCACACCAGGTGCCACCATGATGGCTGGTAAGGGTGGGGGGAGGCGGGTTCACAAGTCTGAAGTTCTGCCTTCTTGCTAGTAATGGTGACCACCGGTCTGCTGCAGTGGCGACACTGCTGTGCCAGGTCGCAGCCCAGGTTAGCTGTAGTGGGAGCTGCTGCTCAGGCGGGAATGTCACGTGTGCCCATTCCACCCTTTGGACTGCCCCTGGCTCCTCCACTCCCGGGTGAGCTGGGCTGCAGCAGGTAGGGGCGGGCAGGTTTGAGTGTCTGCGGCTGCCACGTGGCTGTACCTCACCTCCGCCCTGTCACCCACGCAGGCGGCAGCGTGGCCTCTGCCCTCTGCTGTTGCGTGAGGGGAGCGGCCCGACTCCTTCCCGTTCTTGAATCAGCTGGGGCCATGGTGGGTGCCGACTGCATCTGTGGCCCCTCCCCGTCCTGCCTCCTCTGCTCCCACCCTCAGTGTCTCGTGTGCGGACCTCAGGTGTGTGTGTGGACGTTGACCAGGAATCCTCTTTTGTTAGTTGTCTGCCTGGTAACTTTTTTTAGCCTATAGATGTCCAGTTGCTCCAGCACCTTTGTCTCTCCTTCATGAATTAACCATTCGTGCACCATAAGTGCCTATGACTCAAGCAGCGGACCTTTTTAAATTAAATTCAAAATACCGTGGCAGTTAACTGGTTAAACCTTGCATCTTTGTAGAAAGTCACTTGGGCATTTGTGCCTATTTCTGGATTGTGTATTCTGTACTGTTGGTCTGCGTGTCTGTCAGTACCACACTGATTCCGGAGACTGCACACAGACACACCTCGTTTTATTGCGCTTCACCTTATTGCTCGCCACAGGTGCTGCATGGCCTACAAATGGAAGGCCAGACCTTCCACCAGCAAGGTTACAGTGTACTTTACTGCAGTGGTGTGGAACCAAACCTTTGCTATCTCCGACGTTTGCCTGTAATGAGTTCTGAAATCTGGTAGACTCCTTCCACTTTATTCTTTTTCAAAATTGATTTAGCTATAAGTTTAAAAATAATCTTATCTACCTCTGTAAAATATCTTCCTGGGGTTTTGGCAGGAACTGCATTAAATCTGTATATCAATTTGGGGAGAATTGAAATCATTGCTGTGTTGCATCTCGAAGTCCATGAACACCGTAAGTCTCCATTTAACTCTTGGTTGGTTTCATTCATTAGTGTTTTGTAGCTTTTGGCATATAAGTCCTTATGTATTTTGTTATATTTACAATTAAGTACTTTATTTTTAGAAGCAATTGTAAATGGTACTTTGTTTTATCCTCACCAAGGATATGGTTTATTGATTTTATTTTTTAATCCTCACCTTATTGATTTGAGAGAGAGGGGAAGAGAGAAATATTGATTGGTTGACTCCTGTATGCGTCCCGACTAGGAATGAAAACTGCAACCTAGTTAGGTGCCCTGACCGGGAATCGAACTGTAACCTTTGGGTGTGTAGGACACTCCAACCAACCGAGCCACCGGCCAGGGCAGTACTTAGGTTTTCATTGTGGTGATCACATGGTCATTGTTAATATGTGGAAATAGGTTTTTGTATGTTTACCTTATATCCTGAGATCTTGCCGAACTCTTATTCTAGTTGGTTTTGTGGGTTCTTTAGGATTCCTGTGTGGACCAGTGTGTGGTCTGCATGACAGTGCTAACACCTGGGTCCCACCCAGGGACTCTGATTGAGTTGTCTGGATAGTAGGACTTCTAAAGCTTTGCCTGTGATTCTAATAAGCAGCCAAAGGCTGAGAACCACTGCTTTTTGAACCTGTCCATCCATGAGTAGAGATGCCTTGAGCGTGAGGGCCAAGGGCCCAGACTGCCCAGTGTGCACAGGGCCTACCTCGCTGTCCGCTGTGGCGTGGTTAACAGGCTGGCCCCGGGCGTGATGGCCTCGCTGCTTCCAGCCCAGCACACACTAGACCGGATGGATGACCAGCCTATTTTAATGAACATATTGACGCGTATAAAAAGGTACTGTTGTCAGTTACTTAAGTGTCCCCGTTTTCTGGGCGGGGAGTCGTCTTCTCCATGGACTGGAGTCCCTGCTCCTCCCATGGCCCCAGCATCTGGTGAGTGCTGGCTCTGTCCCCCAGGGCAGGGGCTGCCAAGGGAAGGGAAGGTGTGGGCTCTAGTCGGCTTTTTCACACAATAAGAAGAGCCTTGGTCTTGGCCTGAGAAGGCCACCAGTTAGACAGAAGTAACTGCTTGGCACAGTGTCTGCCCAGGGGCCGCACATGTGGGAGGGAGGCCGGCCCTTCACCTTGGAGCTGCCCCTTGGCCTACAGCTCTCGGGTCAGGGCTGAGCTCCTCAAGGCTCACTTCCTGGCACTGCAGACCCAGCCCTGCCAGGAGCACGTCCACACCAGCACAACTGGAAGTGCCAGGGACAGCGGAAGGGGAGGGTCCATTTGGAGAGTGTGTGTGGAGTTGGGCCCTAAACGTGCGCCAGCCAGCTGCAGGGCAGGTGTGCTCCTCTGCTTCCCTTCACGCAGTGCTCAGAACCCGCGGTGCCTGCGGAGGTGGCAGAGGTGACAGCTGCAGGGTACGTATAAGCTCCAGTGCCAGGGCGGCATTGGCACCTGAGGCAAAGGAGGGTTACGGGCCACCACCCCAAAAGCTGAGTGGGCCACAAGCAACCCCAGCACCCAGGCGCTTCACCGTCACCAGGAGAGCTACCAGCTGACCCCTGCAGAGCAGCCTTTAGACAGCGGGCGCAGGTTCTCTCAGTACTGGCTCCAGCTCCTCAGTCTTGGGGCTCCTGTGGCAACCAGGCTGGCACTGGACTTCTGCAGTGGGGCCTCAGACCTGCTGAGCAGCCCCGTCCAGACCCGACACCAGAGCCACTCCAGACACCGGCTGACAGGAGCGGAGTCGCTGAGAGACCCACCCGCGGGCACTGGCAGCTGCGAAATTGCCACCCGGCAGGAAACGCCCGTGGGAGGGAGGGGACGAGCAGTCTCCTCGGAGGCCCCCTGGCACTGGGAAGCCCAGCGCGGCCCTGGGAGCTGGAGGCTGAGCTTCCTTGGCTTCGTGGCCACCCCGAGCTCCCAGCTCCACTGTCCCGTCTGGGCCTCCGGGTCCTGCTTCAGCCCTTCCTGGCTCAGGCCCTCGGGCAGCTGCTCTACCTGCGGGCCGGGCTGAGCTGACATGACTGCCTGCCCTGGAGGCCTGAGATCAGCACTGCAGACATGTGATGGGGAAACAGGGTGGACTGGTGGCTGAGCGGCGGCGGCGGGCGCTGTCGTCAGCACCGGCTGCGGGGATGCCCCTGGTAGGCCTGCAGAGCCTCCCGGATGGCCCGCTGCCAGTCGCGGGCCAGCTGCACGGGGGTCGCTGAAGCCTGGGAACGAGGTGGCTGGGTCAGTCCTCTCCCCTTAGCGCCCCCACCTGCCTTCCCGGGTGCGGGCTGCGGGGACTCACCTGGTTCCGCACGCCCAGCTGGGCTCCGTAGAGCAGCAGCACCTTCATGGCTCTGTAGTGGCCGTGCCGCACAGCCTCGTGTAGCGCTGTGTCTCCTTCCTGTCGAGAAGGGGGACATCGGTGCTCTCCCCCACAGGAACGCATCTCCGACTCGCAGGGACCCCGCTAGATGTGCAACCGGGGGAGCAGTGGGCAGCAGCAGCTCTTACTCGACTCACCCCCCGAATCTGTCCCCTGGGTCCCCTGCTCTGACTTCCCAGGGCGTGAGAGCAGCCCCACCTCGGTGCTCCCGTTGCTGCTTCTACCCTAAGCCCTCGTTTCACTGTCCCCAGCTTTATAAACGTATCCTCAAAAAAAGGGGACCTCCTCCTGCCTGAGCCGGAGCTGCCCCAAACAAGCGCCGACCTTGTCCTGCGCGTCAATGTGGGCCCCGCACGCGATGAGGTGCTCCAGGCACTCGCAGTGCCCCGTGCGCACGGCCACGTGCAGGGGGGTGCTCCAGATCTAAGGGCGCGAGGGACAGTGTCACTCCTGAGGGGCAGGCTTCGCCCCCACCCCAGGGCTGTGCTTCCTCCAGGAAGTCGGCCCCCAACAGGCCGCCCCCTGGCATGCCCTCACCTTGTCCCGTGCGTTGACCTGGGCTCCGTGGTTAAGCAGCTGTTTGAGGATGTCCAGGTGTCCCCCACGGCAGGCCCAGAACACAGGTGTCCTGTCCAGCTGCAAAACAAAAGCGCTGAAGTGTGAGGCACCGCATGCCGGCCCGGCCTCTGCTGGGAGGGGGAGCCTTCCCCGATTCTCACCAAGTCACGCGCATCCACAGCGGCCCCTGCCTCCAGCAGCTTGTTCACAAGCTGGCGGTGGCCCTTCAGGCAGGCCCAGTGCAAGGCCCTGCGGTGGAGCTGGTGGTGGAGACGGGAGGGGAAGCTGGGGGAACAGGGCCACCTCTAGAGTCCCACTCCCACCCCCACCCCATTCCCAGAGTTGGTGCCCTGCAGAGAGAGCTACCTGCTCCTTAATCATGCGAAGAGCCCCTCCCTCCCGGCTCGGGGGGCCCCTGGGATTTGTGTCCCATACAGAAAAGCCTGTGGTCCCCTAGGCTGGACTGGAGCACCCCGACGGCACTCCTGCAGCTGCTGAGCTGCTCTCCGATTCGCCTCCCTCGCTACCTTGTCGTGGGCATTGGGGTCCCCTCCGTCCGCCAGGTACTTGTCAATCAGGGCCTCCTGGTTCTCAGCCGCTGCCTTCAGGAACGCGTCGAGGTCCACGGGCCCTGGCTGGGCCTGGGGCTGGGCCTGGGGCTGGTGGGTTAGGGCCGAGAGCAAGTCAATTGCACACTGCAGGCTGCAGGGACGCCACTGCTTCACTGGTCACACCAAGTGGTCCCCACAGAGGCACTTGGCTTGTACAAATGACAGGTTTTCAAAAACTTATCTCAGTAGATTCTGGCCAGATAGCTGGTGGGGTGGGGGTTATGTGTTGACTTGTGCCCCCCACCCCCAGTTCATATGTTGGAAGTCCTGTTCCTCCAGAACCTCAGATGTGACCATATCTGTAACCATCACTGCAGCTGTCCTGCAGGTGAGGGCTCAGGTGCAGGTGGGCCCTAAGCCAGTGTAACTGGTGTCCTTACAGAAAGGGGACATTGGGAGCAGAGCCATGCACAGGGAGAAGGCCATGTGGACATGAGGCGGACGTCGGGTGCTATGGCCACAAGCAAGGGAACAGCATGATGGCCGCAGCCCCCAGGGGTTTGGGGGGCAGACCCGGCCTCCCCGACCTCAGACTTCAGAGCACAGGCAGGGCTCCCCCTCAGGCTGTGCAGCTGGGCAGTCGCTGCCACTCAGGCGTGGCTGGCAGTGCCCCTCTTCCCCAAGCCCTCCCACGGGTGCGGAAGCTCCTCGGGCTCAGGTGCCCTGGGGGGGACTCTGCGTTTCAATCGCTTTTCTCTTCGTCTCTGAACCAAGTTTTCCAAGTCAGCCAGATTCTCCAGGTTAATTCTGGAACTCTTAAATCTCTCAAGCTGGGGCAGAAGACAAAAACCATGCAGCCATCTGCCAGGGGACAGGCTTCTTCTCATCAGGCCTCTCCCGCCCGCCCACTGCAGAAGCACCAGCGCCCCGGCTGCCAGCACGCCCGCTCTCCAGGCCCTCCCGGCTCTGGGCCTGCCCACCCGCCTCACTCACTCTCCTCCTTTTCTCCTCTTCCTGCCTCTGCCTCTCCTGGGCCACGGCCTCATGGGGTCCCAGCCTCCAGTCTCCTGGCCAGCCTCCAGGATCAGGAATTCCATGTCCACATCCCAACACTTTCCTTCCTTCTCTTTCTCCACTTACCTGTAGGGACAGGGAACGGATGAAGAAGACAATTAGGAGCCGTCCTTTCCTTAGAGAGCCGAGCTGTGCAGTGGGGGGTCCGACAAGAGCTCACCCTTTTCAAAACTCTCGATGCAGGGTTGCTGCTGGCTCTCACCAACCCCGCCTGCCCTGCCCTGCCAGCAAGGGCACGGGATGGGGTGTGACCCCGTCTATTTATACTGCTGGGCTTGTGTCCAGGGGAGCTGGAGCACATGACACCTCAGCTTCCCTTGCATTCCTACCAGATCATGCCATACTGCCAGCCGACCCCGAGCTCAGGGCACAGGAGATGCCTCGGGGGGAGGGGGGACTTGAATTCCTGGGTTCCAGTCTTTGCTCATCACAAAGCTGCTTCATCAGTAAAAGGGGTAGAACTAGCACTCAGCTCAGCTCTGCTGGGGCAGAGCCCCCACACAGTGCTCCGCCCTGCCCGCCTGGCCCACCCCAGGCATCAGGAGCCAGGCGCACGGAGGACCGAGCGTGTAGAGGGAGAGGCTGGAATGGCAGGACAGCCGGGCCTGGGACTTCTGGGGCTCCAGCAACAGGGAACTGTATTCCCTTCCAGAGCAAACGCTGGCCACCTACACGTCTGGGGCCGCTGGGCACTGTGGTGCCAAAGTGTGTCCTAAAGTGCCACTGGGCTGCCGTTCCTCTCAGGCAGGGAACCAGAGAGCACCCTCCTCCCTCCCCACTGAGGCAGCCGGCCTCCGGCCGTTTCCAGAGCAGTGGATGTCCGGCAGCTGAGCTCAACCAAGACCCGGCTACAGCAGTGTTTTCCAAGACAACCTGCCATTTCCTGTTCCTCTTTAGCCATCACCATCCCTGTCGGGGCAAAACTCACTCCCCTCTAGGGTTTTCACGTCACTGCTTCCCTCTCTTGCTCTCTCACCACCCACAGGAGAACCAGCACACAGACCAGGGAACTGCCCGTTTCGGCTCTGAAAGCCCCATCCTCAGACACAGCAGCAGCTGCTGCCTCATTTTGCTGAGAAGGTCTGGGGGTACCCAGATGACTGGCTGCCCTCCTGCCCCTCTTCCCATGTCCTTACCAACTGCTGCACGCTGATGACATCCATGGTCCCCCCAGCTCTCCAAACCCCCAGTGAGAAGAGCTGAGCTGCCAGCCCTTTTATAGGCAAGCTGTCCCCTGGGGGCAGGCAGGGCGGGGCAGTGGCTTGCACCCGAGCCAGATGACTCTGTGGCTCTGTAATGCCCACCAAAATACCAGGGTGGGCCTGTAGCCGTGCAGGCAGGCAGGAGGAGCTGCTCTGAGGCAGGTGCATCCTCAGATACCCACTGCCCTGCACCTGTGCCACCCCCCTACCCACTCTGGAGCAATTCCACATAGACACGTGTCCTAGGGTGCCTGGGCCACTGGCCCGGATTCAGGGGGAAAGAGCTCCCACTTTACTAAGTCCAGACCCCACTTACAAAAAAGGGTCAAGTGTGAGCCCCCCCACTGCTGTAGGTCCGGCCGCCTGAGACCCTGAAAGGCCCAGCCCTACTGTCCTTGCGAAAGGCCAGATTCCCAGAGGGCCTGGGAACCCCCTGGCACCAACAGGAAGAAATCAGGCAGCAAGGGGTCTCCCAATGCCAAGGCTGCTGCCACTCTTGGTGGCTTCCTCCAAGGTGCCCTTCTCCCTCTCCATCGGGGGCCAAGTCCAGCCTGTTGCCAGCACCTCAGCCCTGGGAGACCCAGGCCCCACATGCAGGTCCCTACCAGACACTCTCCTGGAGTGGGACCTGGCTTTCCATGGGGAAGGCGAGACTGACATCGCTTCAGGTCCAAGTACATAACATTAACCGCTAATCCAGTCGCAAAGCAACCTGTCACCAGCCACAAAATCAAAGTTCCTAATAGTCCCTAAATGCCAGCATGCCCTTCAACCAGCCGGGCAAAAAACTCTGCCTTGACCTTTGAGAGGAAACCTGATAGCCAGTAAATAAGACTCCAGAATGGGAGTAACATGAGCAGAGATGACCAAATGAGAGGGAGGGGGATTTCGGGTCAAGGACGGCCCAGGCACCTCAGGGCTGCCAAGGTCCTACCCATGGCTGGCTAGCTAATTTGTAAGTCCTTGCCAGTTCTGAGACCAGATTTTTTAAAAAATAGTTACATCTTTTTTTAAAAAGTATGTTTTTATTGATTTTACAGAAAGCAAGGGGGAGGGATAGAGAGAGAGAAACATCTATGAGAGAGGAATATCATTAATTAGCTGCCTCCTGCACGCCCCCACAGGGGATCGAGCCACCAACCGGTGCATGTGCCCTGACCGGGAATCGAACCCTAACCACCTGGTTCACAGGTGGATGCTCAACCACCGAGCCACACTGGCTGGGCTGAGACCAGATTTTTAAGAAAATCTGTAAGCTTCAGGGTGTTCTGTCAAAGGTGCTTTCTTCCACAGCATTTCCGCCTTCATGAGGAAAGGCATCACGGGGGACTGGAAAACCATGTTTTTCCAGTGGCCCAGAATGAGCGCTTTGATGCCCACTACGCTGAGAAGATGGCAGGCTGCAACCTCAAGTTCCACACAGAGCTGTGAGTGGTGTTCATGGCACCGCTCCCCAGGGAGTGTGTGCGAGTGGCCCGACAGGGGCCTCAGGAATAAAGTACAGCTTGTGTTGAAAAAAAAAAAAAAGGTGCTTTCTTGTCTTTCCTTATGAGGAGGGAAAGGGTTACCTAGACCTGAGTGAGGGTGGACAGACAAGAAAAAGTTAGACTTGGGCTTGGGGCTCCACTGCCAGCCACCTACTCACACTCCTCTCCCTCGGTATTTCCGATGGGTAGCTAATTTGTAAGTCCTTGCCAGTTCTGAGACCAGATTTTTTAAAAAATAGTTACATCTTTTTTTAAAAAGTATGTTTTTATTGATTTTACAGAAAGCAAGGGGGAGGGATAGAGAGAGAAACATCTATGAGAGAGGAATATCATTAATTAGCTGCCTCCTGCACGCCCCCACAGGGGATCGAGCCCCCAACCGGTGCATGTGCCCTGACCGGGAATCGAACCCTAACCACCTGGTTCACAGGTGGATGCTCAACCACCGAGCCACACTGGCTGGGCTGAAACTCAGCGGAAAACTAGTTTCTTCCACATGAAACTAACTGGCTTATTAAAAAAAAATTACTCCTTGCCCTAACTGGTTTGGCCCAGTGGATAGAGCATCAGCCTGTGGACTCCAGGGTCCCAGGTTCGATTCCAGTCAAGGGCATGTACCTGGGTTGCGGGCACATACCCAGTAAGGGGTGTGCAGGAGGCAGCTGATCGATGTTTCTCTCTCATCGATTTTTCTAACTCTCTACCCCTTTCCCTTCCTCTCTGTAAAAAAACCAATAAATTTTTTTAAAAAATTACTCCTTGTATGCCGAAACCGGTTTGGCTCAGTGGATAGAGCGTCGGCCTGCGGACTGAAAGGTCCCAGGTTCGATTCCGGTCAAGGGCATGTACCTGGGTTGCGGGCACATCCCCAGTGGGAGATGTGCAGGAGGCAGCTGATCGATGTCTCTCTCTCATCGATGTTTCTAACTCTCTATCTCTCTCCCTTTCTCTCTGTAAAAAATCAATAAAAAAAAAAAAATTACTCCTTGTAAAAAAATCCACACATAACAAATAAAGCTCAAAAAGCGCCCTTTACTAACCACAGTGGCCCTAGGGAACCATGGTCACCTGTTGCTATACTTGCTCTGACTTCATTCCTGCAATTTTGTGTATGTACATACATGTTTCTACAGACATGTCTTGAGGCACATACTGTGATTACAACTCAGCACGCTTCCCACATTAGCATACTCCATTCCACTGCATTGCACTCAAATGGCATGTGGACCAGAAGGTAACGATTTCCCTATCGGGGAGCACCTGGGTTGTATTTTTTTTTTTTTTAACATTACACCCCAGGCTCAAATGTGTGAATACCTCCGTAAATAGGCATCTTTGTAGATTGAATATTCTTCTACGTAGCTACAGGGAAACCAAATTATTGGCCCATTTAACAAAATTTTTTAAAATGTTTTTCTTGATTTCAGAGGACAGGAGAGGGAGAGAGCGAAACACCAATGATGAGAGAATCATTGATCAGTTGCCTCCTGCATGCCCCCTATTGACCCGGAAGCGAACCCTGATCTCCTGCTTCATGGGTCAATACTCAACCACTGAACCACACTGGCCAGGCTGTTCATTTAAATCAGTGGTTCTCAACCTTCCTAATGCCGCGACCCTTTAATACAGTTCCTCATGTTGTGGTGACCTCCAACCATAAAATTATTTTTGTTGCTACTTCATAACTGTAATTTTGCTACTGTTATGAATCATAATGCAAATATCTGATATGCAGGATGTATTTTCATTGTTACAAATTGAACATAATTAAAGCATAGTGATTAATCACAAAAACAATATGTAATTATATATGTGCTTTCCCATGGTCTTAGGCAACCCCTGTGAAAGGGTCGTTCGACCCCCAAAAGGGTTGCAATCCACAGGTTGAGAACCGCTGATTTAAATTTTAATAGCTATTGCCAAATTGCCATCTATAGTGGCTGTTATCAATCCATGAACAGATGCCAACAAAGTTAAGACAAATGACAGTATGAAAGGAAAAAATATATACATCCAAAACAGAGTCAATATCCAGAAACCATAAACAACTCCTATCCTTTATCCTTTATAATAAAAGGCTAATATGCAAATTGACACAATAGCGGAATGACCGGTTGCTATGATGCACATTGACCACCAGGGGGCAGATGCTCAACACAGGAGCTGGGCTCACAGCTGGCAAGCGCAGTGGCGGTGGCAGGAGCTCCCCCTGCCTCTGCAGCAGTTGGACATCCCCCAAGGGCTCCCGGACTGTGAGAGGGCACAGGCCGGGCTGAGGGACCCCCAACCCCAAGTGCACTAATTTTGTGCACTGGGCCTCTAGTGTATCTGTGTATGTGTGTGTGTGTGTGTGTGTGTGTATGCCCAGCAACTGGGACAGCGGAACAAACGGTGGCTATGATGTGCACTGTAGCAGCCAACCGGCCTGATCTGGGCCCCGATCAGGCCTCCCGCCCCCGCGCCGGCCCGCAATCAGCCAACACTCTGATTGGGGCCGGGGTCAGCCAGCCAACTGCCCGTGGCCTCTCCCCTCTGCTGGCCTGATGGGCTCATCGGGGCGAGCTGGCCGGACCCCCACCTGTGCACGAATTTGTGTACAAGGCCTCTAGTGAGTCAATAAAAACAAATTTTTAATGGGCAAAGGATGTGGACAGGAAGTTCACAGAAGACAGGTGTCAACCTCACTAGTAATCAACAATTCAAAATAATAGCAACAACACTTTTAAATCTATCAGATTATTGAGATGCATGAAATTATGGTATAAAAACGTGCTGATCAGGTTTTGAGGAAGGGTGTGATCTAATACACTGCTTGCAACATGCCAGGCACTCTCTCCAATGCTCCCCATACATTCAAATACCAAATCCCCAGTGCCTTTGAGGCAGGTCCTAAAATCATCCTCATCTCACAGATGAAGAAAGTGACATTTACCAAGATACCTCAGATCGCAAGAAGCTTTTGTTACATATTCTGTAGTTTCTTCTAATACTTACTTGCAAAGTTTTGTGTTTTTCAACTTAGGTCTTTTTATTTAAGTTTTTTGTTATTTATTGATTTTAGGAAGAGAGAAATGTTTATTTGTTGTTGTTCCACTTATTTATGCATTCATTGATTGATTCTTATATGTGCCCTCATGGGGAATTGAACCCACAATCTTGGAGTATCAAACCAACTGAGCTACCTCGCCACGTACAATTTAGGTACTTGAAATCTAATCTGGGCATGGGTGAGGATATAACTTTATTTTTTCCAAATGGATAGATGTTTCCACATGAACTAATTTAGAATAGGGTCATCTGTCCAGGCTTAAGCACTTGCAGCCCCCCAAATCTACTCTGTCACTCCAGGGGCCAAAATCAGGCTCTTCCTGGGTCTTTGGGCCTCACTTTCCCACCCTGCAGCATGGATGCTGACCAAAGCTGGGGCTTGGAGACCTAGTCTATGTACCCTTGCACGGCAGCCTGAGACCGAAGGGTGGTGATTCAACTGGCCAGCAGGTCCCGCAGTTCACTGTTGTGGGGCAGCAGGTCACATGCTAGTCGTGCCTTCCGATCTCGGACGGCCTTCAGGGCTGGGCTGTGTTGCAACAGAAGGGAGCAGATATCCACGTGACCATTCTCAGCAGCCTGTGGAGAGAACAGCCTGAATCAAAAGTCACACCTCACTGGGCCCTGCTCTTGCACTACTTCTGGGGGTCTCTTGGTCCTCGTGGAAATGGAGACACTGGATGTTTGGGTTGACTTCGTCTAACTCCTACCCACTCCCACGACAGGCACCCAGATGGGGGAGTACTCTAGGGCCAGCCTGGCAGTTAGCTTGAGTTTTTGGTTCTCGTGGTCTTTGGCTCAGTGGCCATTCTTCCTTGTCCAAGCTGCACAGTGAAGACAAGTACAGAACCCTGGGTCTCTAAGTGTCTTTTACAAACATTCTGATCATCTAGAGGGTGCTGGGCACCATGAGCATAAGAGACATCAGACATGGTCTCTGCCTCTTGGGACTTTCAGATGAGCAGAGGAAACGGGCCCAGGTCCCCAGCTTTCTCCTCTCCTCCTCTGAGACAGACGATCCCAATCTGGATGTCAATTTCTAATTTATTTCCAAAAAATAGCAGTTAAGTGATTTACATAAATTATCTTATTTCACTTCCACAGTAACTATCAGAAGTAGGAGCTATCATTATTCCCATTTTATAAACGAAGAAACTGAGGCTTATAAAAGTTAAGTGACTTGCCTAAGGTCACAGAGCTAATGTGGCAGCCTGGGGATTCTCAAGCAGGTCTGTCTGACCTCAAAGTCTGAACTCTTAACAACTGTCATACTACTATACTCCCTACTCCTCCCAACAGACAAACTGATGGAATACAGGGGCTTTTGAGAGGTATCAAAATTAGTATTAGCAGCAACCATCATCTCAAATTTGAACCCAAATCTTTTTTAGCAGGTCCTTTTGATGAGTATAGACCCGGTTCTTAATTCTGTTGCCTCATTTCAGGCAGTGGTATGTTGTGAACAATTGTGAGATGCATTTCAAGTAATTTTTTTTAACAACAACAACAAAAAGTACCAATGTTTGCAAGTAGTTTATTTTTTTTAAAAAGAAAGTGAGGTCCAAGATGGTGGTGGTGTAGGGGGACATTGCACTCACCCCTCCATGAGCCACTGAAATATATGCCCACCTATAGAGAGAGCCATTCCTCCAAGAGACCACTGGGAGCGACTGAGCGCTTCTGCACAATAAATGTCAGAGAGGAACTGTACAGGAAGGCTGGGGAACCGTGGGAGCCTCCAGGCTGGTGGGACTTCTCTGGGTGCCACTGAACGCCCTTGCTTCTGTTTCCCTCCACCTCATAGGGCAGGTCACAGCTCTATCCAGGGACTCTGATCTCCACGCAAGGTTACTGCAGTGCTTTTCCAGCTGTACCACCCAGAGCCCATTTCAGCTCTGAACGAAGGGAGAAAACAGGATCAATAGGGCATTACCACATGCAGCTGGCTCCAATGGCCTGCCAAACAACCCAGCACACAAAGCCACTAGGCCACTTTTTCTTTTTTAATTTATTTTTATTTTTATTGATTTTAGAGAGGAAGGGAGAGGGAGAGATAGAAACATCAATGATGAGAGAGAATCATTGATCAGCTGCCTCCTGCACGCCCCCTACTGGGGATCGAACCTGCAACCTCTGGCATGTGTCCTTGACCAGAATAGAACCTGGGACCCTTCAGTCCACAGCCCAACACTCTATCCACTGAGCCAAACCAGCTAAGGCAACACAAGGCCACTTTTTCAAGACTGGAAAAGATAGCTATTTGTCTAGTTATATAAACTAGAATGTCAAACAAAATGGGAAAATGAAGGAATATCTCTCACGGGAAGGAACAAGAAATATCCCCAGAAAAGAATCTTATTGAAACAAAGATAAGTAATTTATCTGATAAAGAATTCAAAGAGCCCTGACCAGTTTGGCTCAGTGGATAGAGCGTCGGCCTGCGGACTGAAGGGTCCCAGGTTCGATTCCGGTCAAGGTCATGTACCTTGGTTGTGGGCACATCCCCAGAAGGGGGTGTGCAGGAGGCAGCTGATCGATGTTTCTCTCTCATCATCAATGTTTTTAACTCTCTATCCCTCTCCTTTCCTCTCTGAAATCAATAAAGATATATTAAAAATAATTCAAATAAATGGTCATAAGGATGCTCACCAAACTTCAGAGTAAAAAAGGGACTTAGAGAGAACTTCACCAAAGAGTTAGAAAGTATAATAAAGAACCAAGCAGACCTGAAAAATATGATGAGTGAAGTGAAAAAATACAATAGAAGGAATCAGCATCAGATTAGCTAAAATAGAAGAATGGATCAGCAACCTGGAAGCCTGGCTAGTGGAAACCAATCAATCAGAACAGCAAAAATAAAAAATAAATAAAAATGAGGATAGTTTAAGGAGCCTCTGGGAAAACACCAAGCACACAAACATCACATTATAGGGATCCCAGAAGAGAAAGAAAGGAACAAATTTTGCTAACCTGGGAGAGGAAACATATCCAGGTTCAGGAAGCACAAAAAGTTTCAAATAAGATGAATCCAAAGAGACCCACACCAGGACATATTGTAATTAAAAAGGCAGAAGTTCAAAAGTTCAGTGGTGCAGGGGGATAATGAACTCACCCCTCCAGGGGCACACTGAAATATATGCCCACACTGAAGTTAAGAGGCAATCTTAAGTGCAGCAAGAGGCAAATACGTTGCATACAAGGGAAAACCTATAAGGCTATCCATTGACTTCTCAGCAGAAACTGTACAGGCCAGAAGGGAGCAGTAGGACATATTTAAAGTGCTAAAAGAAAAGAACCTACAACCTAGAATACTTTATTATTCTAGGCAAGATTATTATTCAGAATTGAAGGAACGATAAAGAATTTTCTGAACAAGCAAAAACTTAAGGAGTTCATCATCACTAAACCAGCTTTACAAGAAATGGTAAAGGGTATTCTTTAAGCAGAAAAGAAGAGGCCATAACCAGAAACAAGGAAATATGAGAAAGGAAAATAACCTATAGGTAAAGGCAAATATTTAATAGAGACAGCAAATCAGCCATTTAAAAAGCTACTATGATAGACAAAAGACAAAAGTACCAAACTCAATAAAAACTACAACAAGTAGTTAGGAGACACACAAAAACAAAGATTTATTAACAACAACAAAAGAAAACAAACAAAAAATATCTGAAGTATGACCTCAAAAACCCTAGTTGGTTTGGCTCAGTGGACAGAGTGTCAGCCTGCGGACTGGTTCGATTCTGGTCAAGGGCACGTGCCCGGGTTGTGGGCTCCATCACCAGAAAGGGATGTGCAAGGAGGCAGCCGATCAATTTTTCTCTCTCATCATTGATGTTTCTATCTCTCTCTCCCTCTCCCTTCCTCTCTAAAATCAGTTTAAAAAATTTTTTAAATTAAAAATAGATAAATGAAGTGTGACCTCAAAACATAAAGACTGGAGGGAGGGGAAGCAAAAATGTAGTCCTTTTAGAATATGAGAATTTACATGCCTAGCAGCTTAAAATAAACAGCTATAAATATAGAATGATACACATAAACCTCATGGTAACCACAAACCAAAAACCTACAAACGATACAGAAAAAAATAGAGAAAGGAACCCAAACAGAAGAATAAAGAAAACCATCAAACCATACGGAAAGAGATAAAAAAAAGAAAGGAATAGAGAAGAACTACAAAAACAACCCAAATAACAACCAACAGCAATAAGTACATACTTATCAATATGACTTTAAGGGCATTAAATGTTCAATAAATATACAAAGGATAGCTGAATGGATTAAAATCATGCCCTATCTATATGCTGCTTGCAAGAGACTCACTTGAAATTGACAAGCACATACAGACTAAAAGTGAAGGGATGGAAGAAGATATTTCATACAAATAGAAATGAAAACTGGGGTAGCAATGCTCATATCAGACTAAATAGACTTTAAAACAAAGAATGTAAAAAAAGACAAAGAAGGACATTATATAATTACAAAGGGGCCAATCCAAGAAGAGGATATAACAATCATAAGTATATACACACCCAACATAGGAGCACCTAACTATATAAAGTAATTATTAATGGACATAAAGGTAGAAATCTACAGTAATCCTCCTGTATAATGAAAGACAACTATGCAAATCGATTGAATGGCAGAATGACCAGTCGCTATGACACACAGGAGCTGCCCCCTTGTGGTCAGTGTGCTCCCACAGGGGGAGCATCGCTCAGCCAGAAGCAGGGCTTAGTCGGACATCCCCAAGGGCTCCAGGACTGCAAGAGGGCACAGGCTGGGCTGAGGAATGCCCCCCTGAGTACATGAATTTCGTGCACAGGGCCTATAGTACAATAGTAGGGAATTTTTAAATATCTATCTATCTATCTATTTTAATCCTCACCCAAGGACATGCTTAGAGAAAGGAACAGAGAGAGACAGAGAGAGAAACATCGATAGGTTGCCTTCCGTATGTGCCCCAACTGGAGATTGAACCTGAAACCCAGGTATGTGCCCTGACCAGGAATTGAACTGGCAACCTTTTGGTGCACAGGATGATGCTGAACCAACTGAACCACTCTGGCTAGGCAAAAACTGACAAATTTTTAGCTAAACTCACAGGAGAGAGCCCAAATAAATAACATTAAAAATGAAAGAAGAGACATTACAACTGAATTTGTAATGATTACAAACAAATTTGTAATGATACAAAGCATCATTAAAGGATACTATGAACAATTATATGCCAACAAACTGAACAACCTAGAAGAAATGGATAATTTTCTAGAAGCATATAACCTTCCAAGACTGAACTAGAAAGAAATAGAAAATCTAAACATACTGATCACTAACAATAAAAATGAAAAAACTCCCAACAAACAAAAGTCCAGGTTTTATAGAAGAATACTTATCCTTCTTAAATTATTCCAAAGAAGGAGGAATGCTTCCAAACTCATTCTACAAAGCCAGTATTAACCTAAAACCAAAATGAGACAAAAACATTACACACACAAAAAAAGTTACAGGCCAATATCCTTAATAACATAGATGCAAAAATCCTCAAAAAAATATCAGCAAAACATTTTCAGTAATACATTAAAAAGAGCATACATTATGATCAAGTGGTACTTATTTCTAGGATGCAAGGTTGGTTCAATATCCACAAACCAATGAACTTGATATACAGCATAAAATTAAGAATAAAAATCATATGATCATATTAGTAAATGCAGACAAGGCATGTGACAAAAGACAACATCCACTTATGATAAACTCTCAGCAAACTGGGGACAGAGGAAAAATCCCTCAACCTAATAAAGGCCACACATAACAAACCCACAGCTAACATCACACTCAATGATGAAAAGCTGAAAGCTTTTTCTTTAAGATCTGGAACAAGAATGTCCACTTACATCACTTATATTCAACACAGTATTGGAAGTTCTAGTCAAAGCACTCAGATAAGAAAAAGAAATGAAAAGCATCCAAATTGTAGAGGAAAATTCAAAAAGAATAACATATATAGGAATAAGTTTAACCAAGAAGGTAAAAGACTTATACTTGGAAAACTATAAGACACTGAAGAAAGACACTGAAGAAGATACAAATAAATGGAAGCATACACCATGTTCATGGATAGGAAGTATTAATATTAAAATGTGCATACTAGCCCTAGCCGGTTTGGCTCAGTGGATAGAGCGTCGGCCTGCAAACTCAAGGGTCCCAGGTTCAATTCCGGTCAAGGGCATGTACCTTGGTTGCGGGCACATCCCCAGTGGGGAATGTGCAGGAGGCAGCTGATTGATGTCTTTCTCTCATCGATGTTTCTAACTCTCTGTCCCTCTCCCTTCCTCTCTGTAAAAAAATCAATTAAATATATATTTTTTAAAAATGTGCATACTAAAAGACGGAACGGACATCACCCAGAACCACAGGAAAGCTGGCTGAGGGGAAATTCTTCAACTAGAAGGAAAGAGAACAGTGTACCAAGACTCAGAGGAGGCGCAGTGGGGAAAATACAAAGGTGCGGAGGTGCGCGGAACGGTCTGGTGGCTGAGGGCGCGGTTGTCTGTTTCAATCGGGAGGGAGGCTCAGGCACTGAGCTCCAGTTCTGGGTGAGTCTCTAGGGACCCAGACTCAAACGGGAGAAGCGGGACTGTCTGGCATCGGTCGGAACTCGAAGGCAGCTTTCTCTCCGAGGTTTTCAGCGGTTGCTGGAAATGAGAGGCAGAGCCTCCGGGGACAGGACTGAGAGCAGCCATAACTGCTCCCTCCACCTGCCCTGTTGATCCCATGCGACCCGCTCTGCCCCGCACAAGCCCTGCACAGAGCCATTTGCCGGATAGCCTCAGGCAAAGGCTAGATTAGCACCTCCCCAGAGGGCAGTAGTTCTCTCAATGCAGACACAGCTGATTCTCACAGCCACTTGGCCTAGAGGCCAAATCCCCCCTGGTATTAGCTACAACAATCAAGGCTTAACTAAAAGACTGTGCACAAAGACCACTAGGGGGTGCACCAAGAAAGCATAACAAAATGCGGAGACAAAGAACAAGGAC